CTTAAAATTTTGTATTTGTTTCTCTAAATTTTGTATTTCTACAGTATATATTTATACATTATAAAATATTTATAAGATAAAAGAAAATCTGTCTCACTTTATTAATTTTCCTGCTTTTACATCCCAAACACATAATATATTGTCAGCTGCACCCGACACAAGGTACTTGGAGTCCGGGGAGAATCTGCACACTCTGAGTATAGCATTGCTTTCATGTTTGAATGTGCTCAACGTTTGCCCTGTCCTGGTATCCCACAGTATAATTTTTCCGTCCGTTGAACAGGATGCAAGGGTGGTACCGAATGGACTGAAAACACAGCAGTGAACATAGTATGAATGGCCGACGAGCGGAGAAAACGCCAACTCTTTGAAGTTCTCAGATATTTTATACAGACGTACCGTCTTGTCCCCTGAACATGTTGCTAGTAACGAGCCTGAGAAGGCCACGCTGTTGACATCGCTTGTGTGAGTTTTTAGTACAGCGGCTAACATACTTGATCTTGACATTCTAATGCTTGTTCCAGTTTAAAGCAGTAATCTAAAACATGAATAATAAGCAATAATATACATCAAAATAAAGTCATAAGATTATAATAATGGTGAATTCGAATGAAAAAAAAAATTCCTAAAAAAATTAAAGTTTTTATTTATTTTTATTACACCCACCGCTGCCTGAAATCTCCAAAAATAAGATACTGTATCTATATTTCTTCCTAATATATATATCTATATTTAGGCTAGGCCCCCACACTTACCATGAGACTGAAAACCTACATTAAATTAATCAATGCTTAGCCGTTTCAATTGCATAGTGTATTTTGTACATTTCTATAAAACAAGAGTGACCACTCACCGGTCCGCACGTTCCTCTACGCTTAAATACAGTACAGGCGCAAGTTATTATGTTGGGTTTTTGGAAGAGCTAATAAGATAAGAAATTTTTTAATAATTAGATGTTCATTTGTACAAAAACTTTTTTAAATAATTAGAATGTTCATTTGTACAAGATTTAAATGTCTTAAAATTGCAACAAAAAAAAAAAAGATTGAATATCAAGACACTTGCTGACACCCCTGTTTTGTAGGTGTAGGGGGAACCCTACCCTGGGGTCCAACTTAAAAAAAGGCTAAGAACATTTGTTGGAAATCACCTCTAGTTAACTTTTAAGTAAACAAGTAAGAACAGCAGTCAGGTTCTGGGGTCGACTTGCGCTGACCCAAAAACATAAATAAAGTTTAAAATTATCTTTTATTAAAAGACCTAGCAAAGCTCTATGCATAGATAGCCTCACAAAACCTTGGTAGGTGCTAACGTATTTTTATACCTCCATGCGTATATATAGGTCTAACATCAATATTTGTAGATTTGGAAAAGGTACGATCTTATGATAGCGACTAGGCCTAGGCTAGAAAGAGAGATGAAGTGCTAGCCCATACCTAGTCCTAGCTCGTGCAGTCTGAGACTGGACAATGCAGTGATGATAGGCCTAGCCTACTTTACTTACCAGAAACAAAATTACGCTAAATACGTATAAAGTTCAGGTGTATATTTCATCCTAGGCTATCTACGATACTAGCAGTTTTAAAATTAAGAAATATTTGCTTTATAAACACCAAATTAGAGCTACTCAGGCCTACCGTTTTCAGTACGCTAGTTGCCGTCAACATCATACTCAACCAACCATTAATGCAGCGTTTTTCTTTTATGAAGCGTCTAACTGCACGTTGACGTTTATTTAGCAATGCAATAGCCGTGCGGATAACAGTTAAGACAACCATAGAGAAAAGGTAGTACATATATATTTTCTCTATGGGACAACTAAAAAAAGGCACTGTACTTGTTTACTAGGCGTCATATCTCAACAACATTTTAGGTGGGTGGAGGGGGACGTTTTTTTTATAATTCTTTTTTAATTTATTTTAATCGATCTACAGTATCAGTAATTTACGAATCCGCGTTTAGGGCCTAGATGCCTCTTTAGCAGCACCATGCTAGGCACAACAGCTGGATTGCATTTTTTATAGGCTACAATCTCACACATTCCCACTGAGTTGATCCTATATTTGCTTTTCAACATTAAATAAGTCAAAACAAAAAAATTGTTCCAAAAATTAAATATTTTCAATTTCATTCAGAAAACAAAATAGTATTAAAATTAACCATTTGCAATAGGCCTACAATAAATTTTACACCTGGTTGATGGAATCATTGTTTTAATTCACTTGTAGACCTAATCTTATTTTGATTAGCATTGGACAATAAACTCATTTTTTTTCAATAAATTGTTAATTTTTGCTTCAGATGGGGCCGGTGACGCTAAACAAGTAGGCCTATATTTTTTGTGTGGCCTTATCATCTCCATCATCAAATTATGTGCCAGTGGGTTTCATAAGGAATTGAATGTTGAATCGTTTTCTTTATTTGGAAGACAAACCCACTGAGTAGGCCCATTATTTCCAATAAAAATTGCATATGAATGGCATTGTATACTCTATGACATTATTATAATACCACGATAATTATTATAACCATAATACTATGATGTGATGATGATGATGATGGTTATGGACGATGATGATGATGAGGATATTAATGATGATGTTGATGATTGACAGTAATTCAGTCACTTGCTGGTTTTGCATGGCCTCCGGGAAAGAAGGTTGTAGCAAAATTCGGAATAAAATTGGCCAAAAAAATGTTTTCTAGTCTTCTTTCGGTAATGGTATACAATATATCTGATAACAGATAGGCCTACCCTCTGAGAGAGTAGAAGCTTATTTCTCATCTCATTAATATTTCAAATTCAATTAAAAGAACAGTTGACTATGCGATGATTAATCTACCAGCATTTTAGATTGATTAATGTTTTCTAACAAAAACAAAAAACAAAACAAAAAACATACACAGACCGCAAATAATTGAAAACGTGCGTTTCACAGAAATTCTCTTTCGATCATTGTGTCAAAATGGCCACACTGGGCATGACACGTTTGATGCTGAATAATGAATAACTCTAACACATAACTGCTAAATACTCTCGGATAGATATAACAAGTACCGCTTGGATATATTTTTACTTTCGATTGTATATTAAATACGACTTTTAGTTATATGTTTATTATACGACATGATGATGACATGGATGGCCTATTACTTGAATCGCAGGATACTTGAAGTGCAGAATTGAAATGTCTCATCAACAAATCCGACAGCAAGACAATTTATGGCATGGTGTTAAGAAGACAGCTGATCGTGTCATCTTGATTGTGAATATAACTACTGACGATGCAAAGTATATTGCGTCATAACATATGAAATATCTCAGCGTGATAGATCATGTGCTGAGCGTCGTGAATGCATAATAATCTTCGGTCCTCTATGCTTTAGCCCAGAGGATATTTGAGAGGGTTGAGAGTAAATTTGACAAAATACATTTGTGTATGAATAACGCAATGCAATCTGCATTGCGTTATTCATACACACAATGGAAAATTTCCAAGTTTAGATTAAAACTCGACTTTTCCTATCTTTTTGGAAACAATATTTTATTCTTAATTTGATGAAATAAAGCAAAGGCGATTCATCATCATTAAATTCAATCATCATGACATCATCATCTCTATCATCATCATCGTTGTCATCGGCGGCGTCATCATCCTCGGGTAATCCTCATAGTCTGCAGCGGCATCCTTATCATTATCATCATTACCGTATTAAAACTGCAATTCACCAAAAAAAAATAATGATCATATATTTTATTGGTCACACACAATTCCGGTACCATAGCAAGAGTCTCGTGAGCAAATATATTTTCTTTTCAAACAGAATCAACTATGATCGATAAGACAAACAACGTCAACGTCAACAAAACAATTATTGATACAGTAACTATTAGAAACCAGAAGCCATGTCAATGGATACCATATTTCGAGCATGTGACAAGTCTTCATCCGAATTCATCATGAATTTACCAATCTATCTTCATCCGGGATCGAGAGAACTCCTAGCCTGTGTATAAAAAATGCGGGTGGCATGGGAGCAAATTGCATAATGGAAAGCTCATTTTATACTGTCTCTTATACACATCTAGATGTGTATAAGAGACAGCGTATTTTTATACCTCCATGCGTAT